GATGATTAAGGCTAAATTCGCAGGAGCAGGGAAGTCCACCATCTGCAAGAGCATGGAGAGACTCAAGGGTTATAAAGTGTTGTTCGTGGTTCCTACCAATAATCTGGGTTTGGAGTGCGAAGTGGAAAGCGTCACTGTAAATAAATTCTTCGGTATAGCAGTCAATGACGAGAAGCTAGATAAATACGATCATTCGATGTTTGATGTCATTGTGTTTGACGAGATTTGTTTTAATAATACCTTTGTATTGGCAAAAATCAAGGGCTTTGTTGAGCAGTTCAAGGACAGTAAAATAATGTTGGCAACCGGTGACGCCAAGCAGTTGAGCCCCATAAAAGCACTGACTAACACTAAGAAACACGAGATTTATATGAATGAATGTATTGACAGCATTTTTCCTCATCATTTGTTTTTGGAAGAGTGCAAGCGATTGAAGACTCAGGAGGACAAGGATAAACTTAAAAGTATTTATGCCGACATCTTTGAGCATGAGTTGTCTCTACATGATGTCATCAATAAGTATTTTAAATATACTGATGACATCACAGGAACAGAAAGCAATGTCGCATATTTAAATAACACTTGTAGAGAGGTTTCAAGGCAGATCAGGAAACGACAGGGCAAACAAAATGAGTTTGAAGTCGGCGAGATCATGATATGCAGAGAGTATAGGAAGACAAAAACCTATAAGTTAAATGTGAATTTTAGGTATGAGATAATTAATATTTCCGATCCTTGGATTACCATTGCTAATATCAAAACACGAGAAGAGATTACGCTAAATATTGGTATCTTGAGAAGTCATTTTATCTTTGCCTTCTGTTATACTTGTCATTCTGTTCAGGGGTGTTCCATTGATGACGATGTCACCATTTTTGATTGGAACCATCATCTGATAACTCGCGAGTGGCTTTGGACGGGGATCACACGGGCAAGGGATTTAAACAGAGTAAAATTTTACAAATACAGTAGTGGTTTAAATGAAGAGTTTAACGCAAAATGCATTATGAATTATTTTGATAGAAAGGTGTTAGCATACAAGGAACAGGATCGTAAAAATGGTTTTGGTATCCCAAAAGAAAATTATGTAGATGCCGAATGGTTGAAGGACAACGTCAATGGCAAGTGTGCCAACTGTGGCTGTGGTTTCGTGTTGTCAATGGATTCTGGCAATATAAGTTCTAATCTGACTTGTCAAAGGTTATGTAATGATCTTCCCCATACAAAGGATAATGTCATTGCCTTCTGTGCTTCTTGTAATAGATGCTTCAGTGATAAAATAACATATTGATATTTATTTTATAGTATTATATATATGAGTGAAAAAGACAAGATAATCAGTGAGGTCTACTACGATCAGGCTGGGTTTGGTAGCATCGCCACCACTTACAAAGATGCAAAAAAGAAAGATGCATCCATAACAATGCAAGATGTCAAGGAGTGGTTTCAAGAGAACGTGGAACGGAAAAAACAACTGTCTGGATACAATTCGTTTATTGCCCCTGATATCAACTTTGAATATCAATTGGATCTGTTTTTTATATCAAAAAATGATTTAGATAATCAAAAATATAGGATAGGCTTATTGCTTATTGATGTATTTCCCGCAAAGCCGTGGTGGTGCCTATTGCATCCAAGCAACCTGCCGACATCACGGCTGGGATCATGGAGGCATTAAACAAAATTGGAGGGAAACCAAAATTAATTTATTCGGATGATGAGGGGAGTCTCAATACCCAAGATCTTGTTGATGTTTTCAAGGACGAAGGGATCCAAAACTATAAAACACGAGGGCACCCCCATTTCGCCGAGCGTTTCATTCGCACGTTCAAGGACATGCTTTTCAAGAGGGTTGATGCAGACGAGAAAAAGGGAAAGGTTAATATACAATGGGTTGATTATATCCCCGAGATCATGCTGACATACAACAGTAAAATGGTTCATTCTGCCCACGATATGACTCCAAACGATGCCCACAAAAAGGGAAACCATCTTGAGGTCAAGATGAAGCTTGAGATGAACAGAATCAAAACCCGCAAATATCCCCCTGTTAGGGTTGGCGATGAGGTCAAAATATACCGCAAAAAAGGGATTTCCGAGAAAGAAAGAACGAGTTCATGGTCAGCAAACAAGTTCACAATTGAAAGGATTGAGCGAAAACTTGGACAAGACTATTATTATGTCCAAGGTGTGACTCGTGCTTATTTGAGATCGGAAATTCTGAAGGTTTGAAAATAATATCTAAACGGTTCTAATAGCTGATGAATCTATTAGAACTGTTTAGTGGGACAGGGGTCGGTCGGCTGCATCGCCCGCGATCTGGGGTTCAATGTCATTTCACTGGATTTGAAAAATGCTGATATAAATACTGATATTTTGAAATGGGATTATAAACAATTTGATAGGAACCATTTTGATTTTATTTGGAGTAGTCCCCGTGCACTGAATACAGCAAAGCAAAAACTACAGGAATTAGGAATATTGAATATGCTACTAGTATAGTTTTAAAAACTATTGAAATTATCAAATATTTTAATCCTAAATATGTTGTAATCGAAAATCCCCAAACTGGATTATTAAAAAGTCAGGAGTTTATGAATGAGTTTGATTTTAAAGATGTAGATTATTGTAAATATGGAATGCCTTACAGAAAGAGAACTAGGCTCTGGAATAACATTACAACATGGAAACCTAGAGATTTATGTAAAAAGGATTGTGGCAACATCAGGAATAATAAACATATTGAAACTGCGCAGAGACTGCCAAATGGAAACAAGAAAAAATGGGGAGACAATCCAAAAATACATAAGCAGGAAGACCTATATAAAATACCTAGTAGTTTAATCAGTGAAATTTTGGTGAGTTTGGTTGGTTAAATAATTTGGGGCTGACCACTGCCGGAAAAAGCCCCTTTTTTAACATACACCGCTTTTGGTGTATGCGTACACCGCTTTTGGTGTATGCGTACACCGCTTTTGGTGTATGCGTACACCGCTTTTGGTGTATGCGTACACCGCTTTTGGTGTATGGTGTTTGTGATAATATTTGTCAATGTATGATATGTGTAATTGCAATAAAATTATAAACGAAATTGATGATATGAATAGCAAATATATTAATACTAGAAATGTTAAAAATATTGATGAAGATTTAGAAATATTTGTGTTTATTAAAATGAATAAGTTCTTGACTGAAGAAGAGTTTGGAAATTTATTATACAAGGGCGATGAGGAAGGAAATGATAATGATTCTATTTTTAAGTATTATAATCTGGTAAAAAGATTATATGGTATGTCTTTTAATATTAGGCGTTTAATGAAAGAAGCATTGAATGACAATGACTTTGATTTTTTAAGTTGTGAGTATAAAGCTCACAGTGCAATTAGAACAATGGGCTTGTTTAAAAAGGAAATAGGAAATAATATATATAATGAAAAAACAGCTGATAAAATAATAAAAAGAATTGAAGAAGAATTTTATAATGAATTAGAATAAAGTTGAACTCATAATATAATTATAACATGTAAACATTTATATGTTATAATTATAGTGTAATTTTCCCGCATAAGCCGTGGGGGTGCTTTCCTACATAGGCCTTTCCCATCCGCATTTTGCCATCCATATTTTACTGGGATTGTTTTCAAGATTTGGGTTAACGGTTTTAATTCTCCCTTTTCCATTGGTTAACCATTTTTCGGGGCGAACATAGCGTTCTTTTTTAGACTGTTCGTATTTGTTGGAAATGGGAAAGGGTTGCAGTTTGGATCATATTTTGATGGTTGGAAGTTGAGGGTGAGCATTTGTTGGTATGTGGATTGATTTTTTTGAGTGACATTTTTGAGGAGGTGTGAATTAGTGTGTAGTTAGGATTGTTGTTTTGAATGAGTGTAAGGGTTGGGTTAAAGGTTGGACAAATTAGGCTAAAAATGAAGTTGATGATGAGAATACTGATTTTTCTCATGATTAACTTAGTAGGTGTTTCAATTTGGAGGTTGAAAATGGGGTGATTTGGTATGTGTGTTTAAAAAGTGCTCAAAAGTGTAGGGGGGACCCTAGGACCGGATGGCAAAATGCGGACGGGAAAGGTCATCTCTAACTTTTAGGCGGGGGTCCTCTAGTTTGCGACAAACCCAAATCTGCCGTGGCATGCGACCACTTCACTTGTTGGTCAAAATTGAACAGAAAACCGCAGGGTCTCGTCCATGCTTACATTTACTTTGACCATTCCCGGGCTTCTCGGGCAATAAGCTTGGGGTACTTGTGGTCACTCGCGTGCCACTACTTACTCTTTTTTTTGTCTTGGGGGGGGGGGGGCGGGTCTCAAAACAACTTGGGGCTTCCATTTGCTGAAAAGTGTGCTTTTCCGCTTCCCCCTCTTGAGACACCGAAAGAATGGCTTCTAAAGCTTCCCCCTCATGAATGGCTTCTAAAGCTTTGGCGACGGTGACGCAAGGTAAGGAGCTTGGTGAGGGTCAGATCCAAATCACCTAACAACATGGGGAGACCGATCGTTTTTGAGGCCCTCTTGGGTTCTGGTAGAAGCACATTTGACACCCAAGAGCCATACCTCTCGTTCCTCGGGCATGTTTGTGGGTTTGGTTGGAGCTTGCATTTCCACACGGAGGAAGAACCCTCTCCGGTGATTCCATTCCATTTAGGCGACCCCCCAAATGGCTTCGGCATTCCATTTCGTTTTCTAATAAACCCTAAAAAGGGTATCCTCAAACAAGACTCCCATTTCACTTGTTTGAAGAGTGAGGGGTTCCTGGTGTACCTGGATGCGTGACCGTGCACCCACGCTTGCGGTAAGGCAGACGAAAGGTCTCAACCAGACACACAAAGGCTCTCCTTTGTTCAAACGGGTATGGGTCCGCAGGGTTTGGTCCTTGGTTCCATTTGCCAGGGTTCCTTTTAGAGTACCTATGTTTGACCCACAGTTAAATGAATATCGCGCAAACCTCCGAGGAAAACGGTTGCTCCAAAGCCAAAGCTTTGTGCAGGACTCTGCACACGAGCGATTGGCCAAGGCGGGAGCGATAGGGGTTTGGACAGGCCTGGATTGCTCAACAGATGGACGGAAGGAACCCGCAAAAATTTACTTGACTGCTATTGGGTTGGATCTTTAGACTTTAACTTTTTGGGACATCAAGGGTTTTCCACGAAACCCCCAAAAGTTAAACTTTTGGCAGGGGGGTCAACAGCAACCATTTGTAGAGGAATCTCCTTTTGGATGACATGGACCCCCTTTTTGGGTCCCTTCCGTTCATTTGTAGCGGAGCAGGTTTTTTTTCTCCCCTTGACGTGTTTCCCCGGCTGAGAGTAGAATTTCACCCCCGCAAGGTTCCAGGTCCCCAATTCGCTGGGGATGCCTGGGCTTATTTATTTAGCTTTTTTTAAAGCTCGTCTGTTCTGGCATCGTAGTTCTTGTTTGTTTTGCAGTCTGTTTCCCGTTTTTGTGTTTGACTCGCTGTTGGAACTTCGTAGTTTGCTTTTTCATCTGGCAGGAGCTGCTTTGGGCTCATAGGTCCTATAGGTTTGATCTTTCTTGGCTCATACAGCTGTAAGCTCTGGAGTCGATAGGGCCAAACGAGATTCGCTTCTAGGGAGTTCCTTTCGGGCTTTTGGCCTCTTTGTCCAGCCCAGGTGCTTCCTTCGCGAAATTTTCCGGCCGTCCCTGTTCGTTAGGTCCCCCATTTTTAACCCGAACCGAACACTTCGTGCTCCACTTGACTGCTATTGGGTTGGATCTTTAGACTTTAACTTTTTGGGACATTTTGAGGGGTTTTCCACGAACCCCCCCAAAAGTTAAAAACTTTTGGCAGGGGGGTCAACAGCAACCAAGTCCAAGTCTTGACCCTTGCCAAACCCTTTCCCAGACCGCCACCTGCCCTCTTGGTCCTTGGTCGCGGCTTTCGGGCCTCTTGAAACTGAAGCGGCGGGAAAAAAAAGCGGCCCACATTTTTCCCGGGGCTCCTTAAAAGATCGACCCTTTTTGCAACCATTTGAAACATGAATTGCTTTTTAAACACCAAAAGAAAGGGAAACCACCATTCACAAGCTGCAATGTTCAGGTGTATAATGTAAGGATCCCTGCTTCCCCACCAGTCCAGGATCTTTCGACTGCCTAGGACTGCAGCTTTGGCACGGCCTTTCGCGTTTCTCGGTTCGTTGCAAATCTCTGGGTTCGAGCAGGGAGATACACCACCTGGATCTTTTGACTGCCCAGGGCTACAGCTTCACCATGTGCGTTTGTCGGTTCGCGACTGGGTTCGACCAGTGCGATCTCCACCTACCACCCACCCCGGAAGCCACCGGAAAGCTCTCCCTTCCGCCTGCCGTCGCCAGGCGCGGCAGCAGGTGGAGCTGCGGAACGACGTGATGGCCGGGGATCTGATCTTCCCGCAGCACGTGCCCCAGCTGAACACCAGGCGAGCCGGGGGGCTACCGAGCGACGGTTGTCGCGCGGAGTGGGCGGAGGGCGGAGGCTTGTTCCGGCTCTTGGGCGGGAGGGGTTGCGGCTTTCGGCTGTGGATCGCGGCTAGGGAGACTCTTGCGAAGTGGGTGGGCTAGGGGTGGTCCCTCCAAAGGAGGTAATGTTGACCCGTATTAATAAACTGGGGTTGATGAATAGGCTGTCAACATTTCCATAAGCATCACGCTCCCAGTCACGCCAGGAAAGTGCGCACGGCGGCGAGGCAGGGCGCGGGCGGGGCAGTCCGAGATTTTTTGAAATGCAGGGCGGGTTTGTCTCCGCGCGGTGAAGTGTTGGAGTTTAGACAACCGTTTTGAGGGTCATCCTTCTGTCTCAAGATACGGGAACCCCCCAAAATGGATGGCTTGCTTTTAGCTTCTCTTTTGCAGACTCGAATCGTGGGGGAAATTCAGGGTTACCTTACTAACGGATATGAGTGCTTGAGGCCCAACAAAACTGCCAGGGCCACATGGAGCCAATTGGGGCCGCACTGCCACGCTTTCAGTCGCATTAGCAAGCTCAACTTTGTGCACGATGTACGTACATCTTTGTGCTCAACTTGGCGCAACAGCAAATCCCACAGCACATTGCAAAATTATTCGATCCAGGACCCTTCGACGAGATAGCGTTCCTTCTCACGCATCTTGTGATCAAGAGCGATGCGTTCGTTGTAAAAGCAACCATCAAGACGAAGTAAAAGAAGATAAATTTTTAATCACTTGAATGAGGATATTGAGAAAGGAATGCAGAAAGTTTGCAAAGAGAGAAACACATAGAGCGAAAGAAGGCCTTGCTGTTTGATCTTTTCTCAAAGGCGAATCGGTTCTGAGTCTGGAATTAAATGACCCAGTGGATCCATTTGATGTACCCTAAGGGTCCTGATGAATTTTTGGGCTCCAAAATCCCTGGTTTTCAGACCTCCAAAGCAACTCGGGGTGCGGTATGTCCACTGCACTTGTGATCCCAACCAGGTCTCAGGGGGATTGACACAGGTTGCGCTTGTCTCACAGGTACCATGTGTGTTAGTCTATTTGTTGTCTTTGGGTGCCGAACCCATGCCAAACCATGCCAAGCCCAGTGATTCCATTTTTCTAGTTTTGACGGGTTTGCCTACGCAATGGGGCTTGCCTGGAATCCACCGGGAAGGATTGGACAGTGGTTGCTGTCTCGCAAAATCAGTGAACCTCCAAAAGGATTTCGGTTTGCCTTTTGGTTGGCCCTCAAACAGCTATCCTAAAATGGGCAACCCCCAAACAAATACGAAAGCAAACACACACAGCAACTCAAGGAGTGTACCTGACACCCCAAACAACATACGCCCTTGTCCTTCCCCCCCCCCTCCCCACCCCCTCGCTTGTGTTTTTGGAGGCGGCACCTGGGCCAATTCTCACTACTTCGTGTCTCCTCAGAGCTAAGCCTCGGGGAGAGTCCGGGCCCTCGATACGTCGCCGCGCTCGTGTCGGGTGTTTTAGGCCTCGCCGCCCGAGCTCGCGGCGTCGATTTCTCCGCAAACCAAAGGGACACCCGAAATCCAGTTTCAGATGTTTTTTCAGGATCACCAATGTTTCGATACATTTTTCAGAAGACGCCCCCAAACAATACGTCCATGTTGCGCTTTTTTGGGGCGTCACCTGTTTTAAGACACAAACAAAAGTCGCACCCCAGATGTGGGCGGTTGCATTTTTTTGAGGGGACATCCGCAAAATTGATTTCCTTGATAACCACCAAAGAGGCGGGACATTCCCTCAAGAATCGAACCGGGTCTCCAACCCAAACCTATTTTACATTTTAGGGTAGGCTTGATATGAAACAGGATCAAGTGATATCTTTCTCTGTGCAGATGTGGGCCTGGGTTTTCGATTCTTCAATGGGGCTATATAGGTTCCATTTCTCCGTTTCCCTTCAAAAATGACCTCCAGAAGCGGCAGTTTTAACGATCACCACCGGTAAATCGATCAACTTTTCAAGGAGAACTCCAGTTGTACTCCTAGGCATATTCATCGGGTTTCGACGGTACTGCCTTTGCTATGGAGCGAAAGACTCGCGTTCTACCCGTGTCTCTGACTGTGTCCCTAAATGGGCTCAAACATAGGGCCCAAAATGGGACCCTGGTAAATGGCAAGGTCGACTAACACCTGGAACACTCTTACGTACATCTTAGCCCAGAAAGACGGGGCCTTTGGATTCCCGTCACAACTCTCAAGGAAGGAAAGGCAGGACCCCCTCGCTCAAACAAAGAGTCTGGTAGTTTTTCCGGCCCAATCCAGTGGTTCAAAAGCAAACTATGAAACAGAATCCCAGATTAATTTCTCTCTGTCTCCAACTCTTCTCCTTTTAACAACCGCCTGGTCGCCAATTTGAAGTGGGTTTTCTTGGGTGATGTTTGAAGGGGATAGTAACTATGGACATGGATTGCAATTGGGGACCCTTTGGTGCACATCACTTGGGGTTTTATGTTCATCAATTTGGGGTGTTCCCCACTAGAATTCACTGCCATATAAACAGTGGTGCCCATATTCAGGGTTCCACTCAATGACTACCCGCCAAGGTAGACTTAAACCCAGGGCTTGCTCTTTTGGGGACAACCACCCCTCCGTCCAGCATCAGCCTGCAGCGAAGGCTCTGTTCATTTGGCTTGACCTGGACAACCTGGGGGAGACCATGGGCCCGAACGGGCAGAAGAACCTGAGAAAGAGGTTTGCGGCAGACACCAAGATTGTCCGCAAGCTTGTGCATGGAACACTGGCCGGCCGTGGGTCGCAGAGAAAGAACGATGAGGGTGAGTGCATTATGCCGGTGGAGGGTGACGTGGTGGCGATCCATGTTGGCTCTGGTCCGAGTTCCCTTTTGGGTGGCAACAAACAAGTCACCTTTCTGGGCAAAGGATTCCTCCTGTGATGTCAGGGAGGCCCGGTGCATCTCAGGCGTTTCGCCCCCCGTGGGTAAGCCGGTTTCCCTGGTGTTTAAGAGGTGGGAAACACCCTGGTTTGTTTGCAAAACCAGGGACACGGAGTTGGGACATGTTCCGGGAGGTCCAAGGGCTTTGTTTTTCCCCATTTGGGTATGGGTCAAAATAAAGCTACCAGGGGACCGCAGCTTTTAGTCTTTGGTTCCATTTACCTACGCATTTTTGACCCACCGCCATTTTGGCTTTTTCAAGGCTGGGACGCCAGGGACACGGAGTCAATTCGGCTCTGAGGTGTTGCTGAGGGAACGGCCGAGGACATCCTTTGGTTTGGCCAGGCGCGGCTTGGGATCAAGCGAAAACACCCTGCGAATGTGTCGTTTTTTGGGGGAGGATTCCAAGCATCGTCGGTTTTTGCCTTGGGTTTCCCTTTAGCTCACTCCCCGAGTTCCGTTTCGGACTTCGGCCACTTTTTTTGGGTTTGGACCATCTTAGTAGTAAACAAAGAGTTCCGGAAGTCTTGTTGGCCAATTCAGCCGATCGGAAGTGAGTCAACCTCAAAACAGGGTCCCGAGCCTCAACACATTGCCCGGAGTTTTGACCATTGCGCATACTCCGAGCCCTGGTCAGACTTAGCTTGCTTGTTGTCTTACAACCCTTCGGGGTTTCCTTCATTTGATTTCAATGGGTCTTGTGGTTTTGTGTGGCTTTCGGACTTGGTTTACTGAGATGGTACGAGTTTAATATATACCTGTCAGTATGAACACCTTTGCTGCACACCGCTCAACATGCATCTCTCTCTCTCTCTCTATATATATATATATCCGTGTCAGCGGGGGTTTTAAGGGTCGCTCGAACTTCGTCGGGTGGACAGTCGATTCTTTCCTTAGCAGGGACCAACTTTCAGATGTTTCTTATCCAAGGGCTTTTGCATGACTCACCCACTGGGAAATGACCCAAGATGGTAGAATTATCAGGACATATGCCGAAATGTGTGCATTTTCCAGCGGGTGTAATCCCAGGGCATAATGCACAAATCCTTAGACCGTAGTTGGTGGTTGGGATTGCTTTGAGGATTTGAACCCCTGGTTCTTGTCTCGAGGGCAACTCCTCCCAAGCCACCAAACCACCGAGCTCCAAACCACCAATTGGAGGGAAGCTGAAACTTTGTAGAGCAACCCTGCCTCGTGCCACAATTCATCTGTACCTTTCGGGGGTTTTCTGATTGGGCCCATTCCCCTAACATGGCCCCAAGACTAACATGGAGCTGCCAGAAGGCATCTAGAACCAATCTTCCAAAGTCAAAGGGGCCCTGGGAGCTTCCAGCTTGGTCTGGAGGGTAAACCACCAAACAAATGGGTATGGGTCAAACTCCCGGTCACCCCTCAGTGAACATCCCACTCCCCACTAAAATAGGTTCTATAATTTGGGTGGTGAATTCACCTAGCCCAAAATGGGTACCCTAAAACGGTTTTGACCACCACAGCCATGTCACATGTCCTAGGTCCTCCAGCAGAGAGGTTAGAATAAGGGTACCATTTCTGTTTTTCGGTGGTCTATTTTAGCACGGGAACCCTCCCAACCAAAAAAGGGTAAAAGGCACTACTAGGGGACCTGGGAAGGGTTCTAAGAAAGGATCCTCAGCTTCATTGGAGGGGGAGTTTTTGTTGGGTGGAACACCAGTTCCCACCCGTGAGGACCTTTGTTGGAAGCTGAAGGACCTTTGTTGGTTCTTGTTTTCACGAAGCGAAGCGCTCGAAGCGAGGCGCTGGTGGCGAGGCAAAACACGCCCTTGGCCCTGCCGCCGTCCGCCGCAGCGCTGAAGACACGAGGGGGGAGGGGGGGGGGGTTGGGTTCAGGTGCTCATGTTTTTGTTTGGCATGTTTTAAAGTTTTAGGTTGACGAAATATGAAAGCGTATCGGAACAAATGCTTGATGTTGTCCTTCTTGTCACCTTTCAAACTTACCTGGTAATACTACCCCTGGAAACATAAGCACACACGTAGTTATTCAGACGTGTTCCTATGATCAAGACTTTAGTTGGCAAACAACAATACCATACAAAGCCATTCTCATGGCTTAGACCCTTCTAGTACCTTCGCTTGTGTCTTCAAAAGGGTCCGAATCGTGTTGACACCTATCCATACTTCGCGCAGATTGCAGGCGATCACAGAATCAGACAGTTGAATGACTTCCCTCATCGGTTGTGGACGGGCTTCCCTTACGCCTGAATCAAGAGCCATTGGGCAAGTCTAGTCTTCATTCGGATCGAAGGATCGAAGCGCTGAAGTCGATGTTCAGAATGGAAGCTTTGCGTTCCCGTGTTCAAAGCCAGGGGCGAATCTGCAACTCGTGACATGTCTGGGAGACCATTCCAAGTTCCCTTGAACTGCGGAAGCTGTGGGAGAGGGGTGGGGGTTGGATCTGGAGCTGCGGGCGCAGCCGACCAGGTACCGTCGATGTTCGGAAGCTTTGCCGCTTGTAAAAATACACGTTCAAAAAACACGTTCCTCTTCGCGCCCCCAAAAGTGAGCGTGGCAAGGTGTTGCGCCCGCAACCTAATTGCTGTGCAACCTGTTGAGATCGTGTTCCAACCGCGGTTTCTGGGGTGAACTGAAATTCCCGGACAATGAAATAACTTGGATGTTCGTTGCCAAGTGAGTACGTGGTGATCGCCACTTGGGGTACAACCCCCTAATAACCAGGTGAACCGCGCTGAACGGGGACTTATAAGTGGCTTACAACCGAACGGTTACCAACAGCTTATTAACTTGGCCAATCGAACACTCTGTGGCCTCCGGCCGTCGGGCCAAATTTTCAAGGGACCCAGACACCAGGGGTTCCAGAACCGAGGGACGTTGAAGCCCAGACCTCCATCCAACCAAAAATCAACAAGCCAGAATCAACCAACCAAAATCAACCAACCAAATTCACCTAACCAGAAAGAGCAAGCCTGAAAGATCTTTTACGCTTGAGGGGTCTTCTGTCATATGCCTGTGTCCATTGGTTCCGTTTCGGGTGCTTTGCCCACAGAAGCCAACAGAAAGGTACCCAGGAAACAAAACCCAAGGACTTGCCAAGTTAGATGAAACCAGGATTTTATGGTTGGGGGGAAGGGGGCTGTTGGTTCGGAGGGACCCTAAGACTGGGTCTCATGCGTCTTCTTCTAGGCCAGAGTCTGAAGAACATGAAATTAGATTTCGAGAATTCGTTTTCCATCAAAGTTTCACGATGGACCAAGATCAAACAGATGATGCTTTTGGTAGGTCACAGAACCAACCTGCGGGAAGCTGCCTTCGAGCGCAGGATGCTCATTGAGCACTATGACCCCATCAATGCCCAGCTGTACGGCGCGCAGTGAATGAACTCGTGGCCGAAGCGAGTTCGAGCTCTGTTTGCGTGCATGATGTGGATGAATAAACTTATGGTTGACTTTGAGATGGGTCCCGGTGTCGCCAATTTTAGGGAGCATGCAGCACTGTTGGATGGGAACACACCGAATCCTGTGGACAAAATTCTGCACCACTTTGAAACCATGGTTGAAACTATTGTTTGTTGGTATTTGCTGGGTAATCGACTCATTTCAGGCTTTCTGAACAATGGTGCAGAATTTCGTCCATCCACAGAAGGATGGGTTTATGCATGCGATGCGGGGGTCAACATTACTTCTCACTTCCCCAGTTCCCGGACTTACATTTTGGACTGGTTTCCTCACATTTTCTGAAGCCACACAGGGATCCCCTGGCTCCCACAGCAAGCCGCACATGCCATCCACTCAAAAAAAGACGCGACGCCGCGGCAATGTGGGTCAAAAACAGGTACGCAACATGGATTGCCCTGGTAAATGGAAAAATGACTAAAACCTGCGCCCCATAAGGTGGTTTGACTTTGACCCATAGGTGTTCTTTTTAGGTTAGGTTTGTTAAAAGTAGATGGGTTCCACCAGTTTAGATGGGGTTAATACGCCATCCATTTACCAGGGGGGTTTCCCCATGGATTTTCATCAAAAAGGCAATACCCATGTTTTGACCCATACGGTTGCCCGGGTAAATGGCCACACGGCCTAAAACCTGCATTTTTGTGTGTGTGTGTGGTGGTGGCTTAGTCTTGACTCATACCCATATAACAGTTCGACCCTTTTGCATGTTTGGAAGCCACCAACCAACCAACCAACCAACCAACCAACCAACCAACCAACCAACCAACCAACCAACCAACCAACCAACCAACCAACCAACCAACCAACCAAACAACCAACCCTCCAACCCGCCCGGCCTCAAGGAAGAAGTGGTGTACTCGGGTCCGACTTAATTGGACCAACCCCGAAAGCGGCTATGGGTACAACCCCAACCCATCCTTATGTCTTCTCGGATCATTTTGGGTCTGGTGCTTTCGAGCCGCCTTGGGATCTTCCTTTTCGTGGAGCTCCCTGGCTGAACATAGCACGTTTTGGTGTACCATAACTTTGGCGCATTTTGCCAAGGCTTGTTAGGACTTTAACTTTTGGCCTTTTCCGTATTAAACCACTAAAAGTCAACAACGTTTAGCAGGGGAGCAGATTTCGCACCCGAGAAATTCGCCAACCACCGAACTCCGAGTGAACTCGTCGCCAGGCACGGGGAATTTCAAGTCCATCGAGGCCTTCCGCAAGGAGTTGTCCTCCGGGGCCTCGCTCCTGGCAGGGGGGCCAAAAGCGGACGGCGAAGAGACGGATGGCCCCAGGAGACGGCCGTCTGCTCGCTTGGTTTGTGGCGGTTTTTGGTGTTTTTTTCTTTTGGGAGGGGATTTGTTTTTCTTGTTCTTTTTTTGGGGGGGAGGGGAAACTCCAAAACTTCACCCCCTGAAATGGAGTGTTTTTGGCGGCCCTCTTGGCGTTCCTTTCGCAAATCGAAAAAGAAGGACACCGGCGCGGTTTTTGGGGAACTGAGGAGACATCTATTCATATCACAACATAACGAGCGAACGAGCAAACAGGTGTTTACTAGAGCCTGGTGTTCCTTTGGTTCCCTCATGAAGTCAGCCCAAAAACAGGGTACCATCAACCAAAGACACTCTCAATTTACGGGTGAGTCATTGTTTTGATGACGGTTTCTGGGGATCGTCAAAGTCAAAAAGGGGGGTCGTTTGCCTTTAACACATAAGTGACGTGCCACTGAGGTGAGTTTGATCATGATAAGATGATGGTCTAGCCACTATACGGGAAACAAATAGAATGGCTTATTTGGTTTGTCGTTTGCTTGTTCCCGCTTGAAAACCACTCAAGCAGTACCCTCACAAAAACAGCGGGTTTCCTATGTGCCTGGCCCTTGGGGGGTTCCGCCCTGATGGGATATGAAGAGTGAAGCAAGAGAAGAGATACATATGGGCCCCTTTTTGGGGTTGGGGTTTGTCCAGGGAAGCCAAAAGGAATATGACCATGGGGGTACCCATCTCCCATCTTGCCACTGCTTGCTGGTTTTAAACCTCGCCTCGAGCAAGGGGTGATGTGTTTTTTTGGGGAGGGCCCTTCTTCAAACTTGGTTCGGGCAGGATGGCTTTGTGGGATTCAGAGATTTCCTTTGGTTGGCTTTGGCCTTGGACCCATCCACAGGGCCTCCAATCAAACACCCAAGTAGGGGCTCCTCCAAAACTATGTTTGCGGTAGACAGAATATGTAGACTCTGAACATATTACTTAAGTGCCCCAGGCTAAGACCAGGTTTTGATTTTGACTAATCTCTGCAGGTATATTGGGAAATACTGTGGGCGGACCAAATCCATTTCGCACCACTTTGAAACCAGGGAAAATTGGTATCTACAGGGGGAATCATCAGAAACCAGAGTTTCTTAGGTGACGCGAAATGGATTTCGTCCATCCGCAGTAGGATGTCTTTTGACTGGAAATAATAAGGACCTGACTTCCCCTGTCCGCCTTCCTCTCGCGCAACTCCTTTTCGCGCCTTCCTCTTGAGGCGCGGTCCCACAAGGGCGGGCTGCAGCGCTTTTGCCAGCCAGTGATCCTGCAGCTTCGGTTTCGAGGCTCGGAGAACCGGAAAATTGATTTGGCCATGGTTCAAAACCGTTTTAGGGTACCCATTTTGGGATAGGTGAATTCACCACCCGTTTAGAACCTATTTTAGGGGAGAGTGGGATGTTCACTGGGCGGGGTTTTGACCCATGGCCATTTCGTACATCCCGATTCGGGAACCATGCTTGTTGGTTTCACAAGGGATCGCTGGAGTTTCCAGGAATTTTCATTTCAGTCTTAGGGTGGTTCTGGTTACCTACTGTACCATGGCTTCTAGAATGCGGGGTGGGTAGGGTGGGCAGTTGCGGGTTCCTTAGGGTTTGGTAGGATTCTTTAGGGAGCTTGGACCATCCCCCCCTGTTGGGGATTCCACCATTTAGGGTTGGCAAAGTTGAAACAGTATCTGAAGTTTTTCGTGCACCTCGGATTTGAGCCAAGTTTGACTTGCGCCTTGACTCAACTCGCTTTCTCGCTTCCGGTGTGACAAACAAGTCCTTTGCCAGATTGTTTGCCTCCAGCGATTCCGTTTACATATATGGTAGGCAAGCAAGAGAATCGCCCCTTGGCCAAAAGGAACATGGCTGGTTTCCTATTATAGCGGCTTGCCTGGGATGGGCGTTTGGGTTGTCTTGTTCCCTTTCTGACGCCCTGAGACCATTGGTAAACAAGACGCCATGTGCGCCTTTGAGCAGACAGCGAGTCCCACGATTTTTGCGGGTCCGTGGCTTAAACGTCTTTTTGAGGTTTGGCTTCCTCAAACTACCAGCCCACCCGTGTTGCGCCTCGGTTGGACCCAAGACAAAGCAGAACAAAAGACTGTGGGAGCGCATTTTTTTTTTCCGGTGTTTTTGCGGGATCTGTGTAAATTACAATCAAAAAGAACAGCCACGCACCCACTGGATTGCTCAGGGTTCTCCTCTCCGCAAAAAAAATACATCAAAACGGACACCTCGCAGGTTGTGTGCTCATGAAGATGGGCGAGTGCCGGGAGCACTCCGAGGAGCTTCGGCTCGATCCGATTTTCTCTTCGCCGGTGCTTCCAGCTCGGCGTCTTGCCCCGCGAAAAATAATTCGGCAACAGCTCGGTACGGTTTTTAACCTCCGGGTTTTAGGAAGGGTACTGCTACCTCCAGGTCTCCAGGTCTTGCCATGGATGGTTTCTCCTTACATGCAAAATTGCGACGCCTTCGGTACTTGTTTACCTCCAGGTTTTAGGAAGGGTACTTTTACCTCCAGGTCTTGCCATGGATGGTTTCTCCTGGTTAGGGGTATACTCTGGTGGCAACGCCTGGAACCTGGGATTGGCTCGCTGGTGGTTTTGAGGCTCGGTATGCTCCCCCTGCAATAGACCCCCCCTGCTCTGCCGACGCAGGGCCTAAACATGCGGCGAACACCGGTGGTAACGGAGTCCGTTGGGGGGTTCTATTGGCGTTTTGGAGTTTTCAAGAGAGGCCAAAGGGTTTGTCCAAATCCACTTGGGGCGGGGGCTGCCTATTTTGACACGCACATCCCGTCCTTCTCTTCCACTTTAGTCATGAACCTTCCTCGATGGATCAATTTTCGACTGGTACCCGCCACAGCCCAACATGAACTTTCCGAGTTCCCATCATGGTTCTCAAAATCGTGGACCCCCCAAATGGTGGGTTTCCTTTTGGCTTCCCTTCAAAGATCGTAAATACGGAGAGATCTTAGGTGTCCTTTTTAATTGTTTCGGTGGAAAAATAGATGGCCCTGGTTTACCTGGTGGTTCTATTTGCCCAAAAAGGACACCTATGCCCCAGAACCGAATCTTCTTTTGAACCCGAAAGCTACCCCAAAATCACCCCCAACGAGCCTATCTGGGCAAACAATCAGGGCGTCCTGCTCTTTTTCGATTCTTTGTTTGGGTTGGGTTTCTCTTCAAACTCAAAATCACAACAGTGGATGGGTGTTGTCTTTTTGTGGGGACCTAAAAATGATGGGTTTCCTTTTGGCTTTCCTTTAAAGCAACCAATACAAAAGGTACCCCCCCCAACAAAAACAGCACCCCTTTCCTTCTTTTTTTTTCTCGCTGGAGGTCCGCTGAAGCTTGGCCTCAAAGTGTTCGTTTAATTGGAGACAGTCACTTTGCTTTGGGGGAAACCGCCCAAATGGCTGTGGTTGTCAAAACCAATGGGATCCCATTTTGGGGTAGGTGCACCTAGAACCTATTTTAGCGGGGATTGGGATGTTCACTGGGGGTACGGGATTTTGACCCATGGCTCAATGGTTTCCCGAAAAACCGCCCGACGATCCATATTCCCCCCACTTCCAAATCGCCTTGGGGGTCGATAGTCGATTTGGCCCAGAGAAGCTCGTTCGGGGTGCTTTGGAGCAGCTTTCCGGGGGTCAAAAGGAGAGTTGCCGGGCTGGGGATACCGCCTGCGTCGAGCTTTTCTTTTTCGGAGATTGCCATGATCCAAATTCCCCGCGGGTTGGATGGTCAACCCCTCGGCTGGATTTTAGACAACCATACGGGTGCCGTGGAAGGAAGCCATGGCCATTAGACGAACTCCGCACGTCAGGAGTGTTGAACATGGCACACATGGAAGCTGAGCGAATCGCAGTCCTTTGGTTGTGGAAGGAGGGATAATCACTGATGTTACTTGTTGCAGACATGCGTCCCTAGGCGTTCCTTAGGGTAGAACACCTAAATGGCCATGGGTCAAAACCCCGGTCACCCCCCAGTGAACATCCCAATCCCCGCTAAAATAGGTTCTAAAATGGGTGGTGCACCTACCCCAAAATGGAACCATTGGTTTTGACCCACAGCCAAATCATGTGTTCCCGCTATTGAACATGTCAGGTTTGGTCCTCTTTTCACTGGGCCACAATAGCTGCACTTTATGACTTTGGGAAGACCAGTTGGTTGTGAAACAAGTAGCTTTCAACCATTAAGGCCCGGTTCACTCAAAGTCGACCTCGAGTCAAAGGCGGCGAACGCCAAGTCAACCGCTAACCGCTGGCAAGCTCTTGCAACCATGTCTAGGTCCCCCAGTAGTGCCCTTTCTCACCCCCTTTTTTGGGTTTGGGTATCCCCTACGAAAATAGACTACAGAAAAAAGAAACGGTGCCCTTATTCCAACCTCTCAAATCTGGAGGACGTACAATGTTCACTGAGGACTTTTTTTTAATTCCAGGCTCTCCGAGAGGTAACTCTCCAGCCAAAGGGATTTCCTTGGCATAGACCACTCCACTCGAGCACTGCGCGATGCCCTTGAGGCCCAGCTGGGCGTACCTCAAAGGGTACTGAAGTGGTGGCCTTGCTGTGGTTCCAGGGGTTGATTCCGCTTCCATTCTTTTCAATCATCGTTCTTTCAAAAAACCGGATCTGTTTTCCCTGGGGGTTTTCTGGAAAGAAGGATCCCTGGGAAAAATGGGGAAGGTACCCCTAGAATGGTCAGCAAGGTAGTACCCTACTTGCCATGGCCCGTGGTTGTACTGCTTTCTGTTGGTTGTGACCCATGGCGAAGCACTTTTTTGACGTGCCAGAAATCGATCGCGCCTTGAAGCAACATGGGTTGGACTTCCTTCTTCCCTGTGGAATTCTCCAAAATCAGCTTGCCTATCTCGGGACCGACCTATTTCATGGCAAGATCTATGAAGTCGGCCCAGGAGTATGTGTCGAAACCGGCCTTTGCTGTGATCAGTGCCGGCTTGACTGAGCGCGCGGGCGCTTAGAGAACTTGGGTTGCCGTCATGTTTACTTGGGGTGAAAGTGATACTGTGGAGGACGAAATCCGTTTGCACCACTTTGAAGCCAGGTACGGGGGAATCATCAGAAACCCGGGTTTCTGAACGGTGGTGCGAAATGGATTCCGTCCATCCACAGTAGGACAATTCCGCCACGTTGAGTCATCCCTCTTCTTGCCAGGGAATTTTGCGTTGTGTTTTCTCACCCGTTTCACTTTTTGCAGGGCCACGTCCGGCCATGCGTCCCTTGAAACAAGGTGGTTTTGTCCGCCCTGTTTCCGCTTTGTTAGCTCTGGGGTCCAAGATCGTCTCGCCATGTCACCAGGTTCCGGTTCCGTCGCTGGGGAGACCTGGGCTGAAGAGTGTCTCTGCCAGGAATTTGCAGTGGACATCGTGCAAGGGATTTCAGGGCTCCTTAAAAGATACATTTTGCAACCATTTGAAACATGGCTTTTTCCACCCAAATAAGGGGAAACCACCATTTACAAGGCAATGTTCAGGTGTATAATGTAAGGATCCCTGGATTCATCCGAAGGGGAGATGAAAGGAACACATTGGACAATCAGTGTATCCGATCAAATTTAGACAAGGATCCAAGTTGACATTGTTTGAAGGAGCCATTGGAGAGCCCCAAAAAGACTGAAGTTGGGGTCGGTGAGAAGTTTAGGGATGGGGAGACTTTAGCGCCTTGTTTTGGTTATGACTCGTCAGAATCAATCAGGTTACCCCCCCTTTAGGTGGTTTGAATTTATGAATTGTGGTTTGGATTTCGATTTGAACCCCTGGTTCTTGTTCAGGGTTTCTCCGGGAAACTAGAAGCCAGAGGGCTCGAAACCACCAACTAAAGGTAAGGTGAATCAAAACCTGGGTGGATGAAGGTAGAGCAGGGTGCGTCATTTCACAGAGGTCGTTGGGACCATGATTCGGATCAGATTCCCGCCTGCAAAGACCAGGGGCCCCATACGGTGTGGCCTTTTTTGCTTGGGTTCCAGGTTCTTTCGCAGCATAGAACTATGCCACTATGGGCTTGCTCAAAATAAGGAACTCCTATGCTTTCCTGTGGCCCCCCCAAAAGAAGACACTCCAGAAAGGGTATCCAGGATCCTCAAAAAAGACACACCCACATGGGTCATGCTTTTTTTGGTTGAGGGTCCTTTTTGGGGTGGAGATCAACGGGAAACGACTCATTTTGGGATTATCTTATTCGGCCTCTGGCTGTGCTCCCCTGCTCGCACTCAGATTGGCGTTCTGCGGTGATGCGCATTTTTCAGAGCGAGCTGTGCAACTGGGCGGATTTTTTCGAATTTCCGACTGAGGCTTTGGGTTTGGGTTTGCCTCGGCCCTTTTCTTTCTCCAGTTTGTGGTCAGGGTTTTGTGTGTGTGTGTGTGAGCGTGTTTTATTTATTTTTATTTTATTTTTTTCGGGCTGCTGCTGGGGTTGAACGTCAATGCGTCCACCAAGAAGATCGAGTGTTTCTTCCTTTTTCTAGGTCTTCCTGACGGCTTGTCAACTCCGGTTGCAGCCAGGGTGGGCTGAAAAGTTGTTTTAACATGATCCAATTCGGCAGAAGCAACAGGACGCTGTACTGTGGAGGGGCGAAATCCATTTCGCATGCAGGATTTCGCCCAGCCACAGTATTAACGACGTTTAAGTATTTCTAATCTGACCCAACACAATTGACTCGATGAGTGAATGTGACTTCGTTTGTGGGGGCCGACCTTCTTTTGGATTTTGTTCGAGGAGTTGGTGAGTGGGGGTGGCGCTTTCGCTTCTGAAGAGGATCTAGTACCCCAACCTTTTCAACGAGCACTGCTCCGTTCCAGGTTTCTTGTTCATTCTTTTTTGGGTTGGGAAAAGGTGAGCTGTTGAGTCGCTTAACACGTTCATTTTGCTCGACATAGTGGCTTCTCCCCTAGGAAGCTCTGTCTGTTTGACTTCAGAAAACCCGTTGACCCCTGCCAAATCAGCTTATTTGCGTGACAAAAATCTGACCCCCAGCCCCATTCCCCCCAAAAATCCTTTGGTGTGACATGGGTATGGGTCAAAATTAAACCACCACCGAAAAACCACAGGTTTTAGTTCATTTTTCCATTGACCAGGGTGCCATTTGGGGTAACCTTTTTTGACCCACAGCCACATGATGCCTGCTTCAGATAAAGCAATAGCACCTGCTAAACCATGACACCCACACAACTCCCATGTCGAGGTGCCAGATGGCAAACCCACAGTCTTTCAGGGGTGAACATGCTCTTCGGGCCAAGCGGATGCCGTAGGATGGTGCTTGGTCATGAAGCTGGCCGAATGGCACCCAGTGCTTCCATTTACCCTGCATAGTAACACATCAAAAGGATATTGACTGGTTACCTACCTTTGGCGCATTTTGCTTGGATGTTAGGACTTTAGCTTTTGCCACCTAATGGCTTTTCCATTAAACCACTAAAAGTTAAACTTTTAGCAGGGAAGCAGAAAGCAACCGAGGGATCTTGGCTGGTTACCTAGAGGATCCACTGTGCCAAACACTTGCAGTTTTACGTGTGTATGAGCCACTTGCAGTGGTATCATTATTCTACCTCTGGATCGTGACTTTGAGATTCCCCTCGGAAATTCGTGCGGGCCTCTAAAAGAATATGTTTCCTCTTGAATTATATATATGTGCATACGTACACATACAGATGCATATATATATATATACACACCTACATACATACATATTTATATGAGTGAAGCAACAGTCGATATTTAACCATCGTCTACTGTAGTACAGGTAATGGCATGGGTCACACGAGATGGGTTGCAGCGGGGGTTGGGAGTAGTCTCTAGTCCATTTGGGAGGACAAGCCCTATTTTCCCCATCTTCTGTGGGGAACACATTCGGAATTTTGACCGTGGTAAATACATGGCGAAGCAAGCTCACCAAACGGGGGTAGGACAAGCGGTTCTGGGGCCCATGCACAGTGGCTCTTATTTCGGCCGTCATTGGCAATCAGTGGGTGCCACATAAACAAATTCAGCAATTAGGAAGAACAAAGGAAACCCATTTACCATTTGCCAAGGTTTTGTCAATATGTGGCGAATCCACCATCTGGGCCCCTAATCTCTTTGGCAAATGAGATAAAATCAGACTTGGGAGGGGGAGGCCAGTCGAAATTCCCCCCAGGCTTTATGTGAGTCTCCTGACTGAGGCATACGCCATAGCATCATCGAGGCCACGGGAACAGCGGTTGATCCAGTGATTTGCTTTGCTTGCTCGTTTGTTTGCTTGCTCAATTGGCTGTAGCTCAAAAACATGAACCAACATGGCACCCTTGGCAAATGGAACCGATGACCAAACCTGCGTAACCCCAGCTCTTTCATTTTGAGCCACACCCAATTGCGTGCTTGCTTGTTTGCATCTCGGGCGGTTCCCATGCACCATGACCAGCCTTCCGAAAATCCGACGGAACGTATGAATGTCCTTGGGAGAATCGACATATGAGCCACAATCAAATTCCGGGTAGATGAAGGTTAGTAAGGGGCAGTCCCAGCCAGAAATAGTTGCGGCCGCCTGATTTATTCTTTACATGGTTCTGGGTAGACTATTTTATTGCCCAGGTTTGGTTGTGACTCATATGTGTTGTTTATCAGTTTGCTTGTTGGCCCCTGCTAGAATTGGGGTTCGAAACCGCAAAGCCAACGAAAACTGTGGAACCTGCAAGTGGGGAACCCACCACCGGGCTAAGGTTCTTGGGGGCGTGTGGCCTCAAACCCGGATTTGAAAAGGTCCACAGCTTCACGTTCTTTGCGGTTCTGCTCATGTTTACTAGGAGCCTGCAACAAGAAGCGCAGTTAAGAATGTGGCTTTCACCGCACTAAGGGTTGAGCAGAGACCAGCAACACATCTTTGCTCTGCAACCTGGGGCTTGAAGCCGAGCGCCAATCGCGATGTTTATTTTCTCAGGGCTCCTCAAAAGATCTCCATTTTGCCACCAAGTGAAACATGTGGCTTTTTCAACAACAAAATAAAGTTGGACACCCACCATTTACAAGTTGCAATGTTCGATCGGTGTTTTTCATGCATCCGGATCCCTGTTTCTTCTGCACCGCCCCTTTGGGGAGTTTTGTCGAGGGTTTTTGTGGTGCGTAAGGATCATTGAGGTACCCTCATCCCCACTTCCGGGAAAATCTTCCGAGTTTGATGCGAACTCTACCTCTTGGGGATGCACACCGTTCTCGCAAATGCGGACATTGAGTGGGCTGGAAAGCAACCACTTGGAGGGTCTCCGGGTTACTGCGGAAAGAGCTTCTGGAATCGTGCCAAGAACTTTCGGTGGTGTTCTTCTTGTTTTTCTTTGCCTTGATTGGCCAAGAAAAGCGAGACCTTCCGGAACAAGGGCCCATCTAGCTGACTCATGGCACTGAACAAATACAGGGGCAACCCAAGCATGATCCAAAAGAAAACCCCAGAGATGTGGTTTTCTTTTTGGTTTCCCTTCAACGCCACACAAATGGGTGCCCTCAAGACACGACACATCTCTATGAGGGGCTGAACAACAAGTAATTTTGACCCTGGGCTGCTTATGACTCTGACTTAATTTGATAGAAAGTACCCCACAAACCCATGAGGGTACCCTTTTTGGGACTGTTTGACATTGAAACCAACAGGAAATCAAGCCATTTGGAAATTTGAGGTTTTCCTTATATATTTGGGTATGCTTTGTACCCCTTGTTTACCCACCATTGGAGGGTCCCCTTAAAATTGAGACACTCCCATATCGAGGCAAGCCAGCCATTTGCACGCCCCCCCCCCCACAAAAAAAAGAACACGAGGCTTTGACCCCCGCCGCTTCGCGGGAGAAGGATTGCCTTACAGTCTGGCGCCCAGTTGGATGAGTTGAGTTGAGGGGGCAACCCAGACCTTCGTTTTTGTTGTTTGTTCTGTTTCCGTTGTTGTTTTTCTTTTCTTTTTTGGGGAAAAAACAGAAATAACCAAATAATGGTTTTCCTGTTTCGCCAAAAAGAACAACGACGCGATGTTTATCTTCTTTGTGAGGGGTTTCCTGTGTTGCCAACAAATCATCCACCAAAAGTGTCCAGGATTTTGAGGTTTAGGGCTTGGGTTTAGGGCCCCCACAGCTTCTATTCAAGGACTTGCGGTATCAGCTAAACCATTCGAAGACACCCAGTGGTGCTCTTGTTTTCAACTTCTATGGAAGGGATCAGGGAGTGGATAATTATTGGCATCCGCCCCCCCCCCCCCCACCGACTGCCTTTTCCCACATCCAAAACCTGACGTGCAGGCAGTTGTTGCGGGCTGCTGGTAGTCTATTGTTAGTGTGGGAATGCGTGGATCAAAGCGTCACACAACTAGGAAATCAAACCCCACAGAAAGCTTCTACCCCAATTGGTAGGAGGGCTCGTACAGCTTCCTGGAACTCTTTTTGGGGCTGTTGAGGTTCTTTGTTGTGTGGTTCTCTTCATTTTCAATTGGTGGCTGCAAAACAACTCATGCTTTTTGCCATCCCACGGAGAGGTTGCAATTCCTGCGAAAGGGTAACTTTTGGGTTGGAACCCTCAAAAGGTTCTCAGTAGGCAAGGAGGAACAAACACCATCAGCTTCCTTTGAGGGTTCATTCCCCAAATCCCCGCAAACATTTATCCCGTACCGAGCAAGCGGCAAGTTGTAAGGATTGAAGAGGGATTTATTGATCCCATGCTTGGAAAGAGGCAAGTCGTAAGGGTTCCCGCAAAGTTGAACTTTGCTTGACATTTCGAGGAGAGAGCAGAAGCATGGCTGTTTATTGATATTGACTCTTTGGGCTTCGAGAACAAACGTGAAACGTTCCCTGCATTTTGCCCCCCTTTTTTTTGTGCTTACCTTGTTTTTGCTTGTATATAGTGTTTAGCAATCTCTTTGTTGCTTCCTTTTCTTCTTCGTTGTGTGCTGCCTGCCGTATGAGCGGTGTCAACAACTTTGGCGAGCTGGCAGGAGACCCCTTCATCCATCAGAGGTGTACCCCCTGTTTTTGGTGGGAAACTGGGCCTACTCGGCCTCGGCCTGGAGAGAAGTCCACTATCTTCAGTTTGAAAAGCACACCACTATCTTGGGTTTTCCGGGGTGCTTGCCAAGTTGCAAGGTCAAAGGGGGCTAAACCTGGGCTAACTTTCAGATTACATAAGTAGCCTCTGTTCTTGTTTTTGGTTTTTCTCTTTGTTCTTTTTTTTTTTTTGGGGGGGGGGGGTAGCAAGGCCTCTGAACCACCAACCACTGTCCTCGCGCCGGCCTGTTGAGAAACACTGCGACACATGAGCGAGATATGGTTCATTGGGGTTCGGGGACGGGAATACCCTCTATCTAGACCCTCCAACTAGCCATAAAGACGGGAATTTACCCCATAATTTTGGGGCAACAACAACTTATGTTGAGGGAACTTTGAGGTCCATATACCCTTTACGCAGTAATTTGATCTGTCCATAAACACAGAGCAATGAATTTGGACGACAGATCTTCTTTTTTTTGGACCCCAACCAAACCCCGCAGAAAGGGGGTGCAATAATCCGTGTCAAGAACCTCCAATTTTCTGCCTTGTCCATTTCGGCTTCGCCATGGCGCTGCGGTGCATCCGCTTGGGCTTGCGCTGGCACTTAGGCGCGCGTGGGGCGCGTGGGGCGCGTGGGGCGCGTGGGGCGCGTGGATTTGACGAGTCCGTGCAACTGGCCAACGGCCGAATTTTGCACAGCGGAGGAACCACACGAGTGGCTCTTGTTTTGGTATTTCGGCTTCCCCCGTACCGCAAGTGAGGGACGTAGCAGACAAGCCACGAGGATTCCGCAGTGATTCGGGCCCCGCTGGCAAACAAGTGCAAGGGCAAAGGCAACGCATATGCTTCACATCAGCTCCGCTTGACATGCCCTTGCTGGATTGCAAGTAGCCCTCAAATGAGAGCTGTGGTTCCTCGATTAGACCTATGTGACAATGCTTGATCTTTGGATCATAAGACAGGGAAACGAGCTTTCAGGTACACCAAAGGAGAAGTTTTTGTTCCTTCATTTTTTCCCCCGAATTTCTTACCGGTACCAGGACGTTTACCACCCACGACTCGAAATGGTCCAAGGTGATTGGCCGCTTGGATTTCACCACAGCCTCGGGACGAGGCCCCAGGCCCCGGAGATGTCTAGGTCCCCCAGCTAGTCGTGCCCTTCTCTGCCCCTTTTTTGGTTGGGAGATTCGGTGCCCCTAGTAAAATAGACTACAGAAAAAAGACACGGTACCCTTATTCTAACCTCTCTGCTGGAGCCTAGCTGTAGTGGGAGTCATCATTTGGGCATGGTTCCTGTTGTTGAGCGGCACTTGGCACCCGCGGCAAGTTCATGGCCTACGGTGTGCGTCTTACAGGCATGTCCCGCTTCTGTTTAGTTTTTTTTGTTGGGGGGGGATCCCATGAGTTTGGGGTATGAACATGTGAATCAATGCAGTGCTGTCATTGCTTGAGGTTTCAAGGGAAAGTGGGCTTAGCAGGCTAATCCCGATGTCAGTGTAGGCAAGTGGAGCCATGGGTTTGTCCTAATAATCAGCGGAGACAGCAGCTGTGGAGTGCACTTAGTTTCCCATGCACCCTGTGTTGCGCAACTTGCAAGCAACAAGGTAGTCTGGCTGTCCAAAAGGGTCATGATGTGGATGTTAAATTCAACAGTCACTCCATCTACTTGAGTGAACTTTCAGCAGCAGCTGTGAAAGACAGGGCTACAGACACGACTATGGCAAAGCTTGGAATCCGGCATTTGGTTCGGACACGATCGCACGCCATGTTTTCCTGGAAGCTCCTTGTGGGCCTGGTGCTGGTGCTCATATGTCCTTGCACAACATGGGCAGCGCAGATTGGAGGAGCCGACACGCAGACATCGTCTTGGCTCGTGCGAAGCCTCTCCGGGATGTCGGAAGGCTTCCGTCTCGCGCTCAAAACAATAACCCCTGACACGCTCCAGCGGCCGCCAACGAACACTAAGCTGATCTCAGTGGGGTTTGCTCGCACGGGTACAACCAGCTTTGTCACGGCCTTGAAGCAACTGGGCTACACCCCCTGCGGATTTGCTGGCGCAACGCTTTAATGACACGCATCCCCTGCCAGTAGGCGACTTCCTGGATGAGTTTGGAGCACGGGGGTTTGATGTCCTCTTTTGGTTCTCGTATGAAATTGTCGAGTGGGTCGTCCAGCACCCCGAAGTGGACATCAAGTTTGTGCTGACCTACCGCGACAGTGGCCACAAATGGGCCGCGTCGTGGGCTGCGGTGGCGCACGGGATGGACATCTTGTCGTCGCGACCCTGCATTTGGATCAAGAGTTGGCACGGCATTCTGAAAGCCTACAAACATCTCCTGTGGAACATTCAGACGCAGGGACGACCTCAGCTGCGCACTGACGTGGATGCCTTGGAAGAGAGCTATTATAAGCACATACAGCGGGTCCGCGCCATGATCCCTCCGGACAAGCTGCTTGAATTCAACATGAAGGAGGGGTGGACGCCGTTGTGTGAATTTTTAGGTAAACCTGTGCCGGACACACAATTTCCGCACGTCAACGACCGTGTCGTCATGCAGGCCTTGCTAGGCACCTTGCGGCTGATCACGTGGATTTGGCCCGTGGTTCTCTTGCTCCTGAGCTACGTCTTGGTAGTGGTGCGTCGCTTTGGGCTGATTCCTTCTGGACCTCACGAGGACAAGAAGCGACAGTAGCGGCAACTGGCGGCAGTTCCGTCCAGCTAAAGTTTTTGTGTCAGGCATTGCGCACAATGTGTTGCCCGAGTTTCTCAGAACAAAAGCACCGGCTAAGTCAGTGAGTATCTATATCGGTGGGTTTAGGAGCTCAGAGCCTTAGACATAGGCAGCACCTGCACATCTTGTAGTTGCAACATGGGAGGCTCGCAAGATCCCCAAATCAGACGATATAGTTTCCTGGTAGGAAATTCCCGGCGAACAATGAGGAACACTTATTCTCTGAGGTCTTCCACCGAGTTGGAGAAGCAGCTTGGGGTTTCGGGTCTCGTGCGTGTTGAGGGGGTTTGGGAGACCCTGTGCTGAACTATATCTGCAGACTTTTAGCAACACTGGTTTTCTGCTTAAAAAAAGGAACCAAGAGGACACCACTCATGTGTTGTTTTCCTCTTCTTTAAAGGAAGCCAAGAGGAAACCACTCATTTTCTTTTTTAAGACAGGAAACCATCAGGGAACCACTCATTTTGTTGCGGGGGCAGGGGGGGTGGGCCCTAAAAAACGAGAGAGCCACGCCCATGTCGCTGGCCCAGTCCGACGCCACGCGCCGGCCCCATTTTGCCCATAGGCGCCGGCGCCAGCGCCTCGACCGCCGCCCGGCGTTTCAGCAGGCCGGCCGGATGTCCGGCGGGCGCGACGGCTTGCCGCGGGGGGAAACCCCCCTTGAACCAACCCCAAAAAGGAGGGAGATCAACCCAGAGCAGCCCAAAGGCTTTTGAGTTTTTTTTTGGGGGTCCCCTTGAACCACCCCAAAAAGGAGGGAAACAAAAATCAGAGCAGGAGCCCACAGGCTCAGTTTGTTGTTTGGGGGTATCCCGTTTGAGGCCGCCTTTCGGCGGGCGGTATTTTCCTTCCCTTCGAGCGACTTGCAGGCCCTCTATGGGCGCGACCCTCTTTTCAAGGGGGACATCCTGAAACTCCGCGCTGCTGACGTTTTCGGACCCAAGCCGCCTGAGCCCTTTGGGCGTCGAACTCACCATTTGCACTTGAGGTCTCAGCTCGGTGTTCGCACGTGCCCAAAGCCCGCGAGTGGTCCACCCCATCTAGCTTCAATTCTGCGGGGTTCAAATCCTAATCAGTCCAAACCACCAACCAGGTGGTG